AATGCATGTCCTAAAGCTGAACTCAAAGAGTACCTGGTTAAAAACTGACGGGCTGTTTTTTTAATACTGTTCTCCATGAAACATATATAACCACACATTCTCCCCACTTAGACTTTTTTTCTATATTGAAATATAACTTATTTTGTCTCATAAGTGCATTGAAACTCCCCATGAAGATACTCCATACTGTTAATAGCATATCACAAAAAAACCTCAGATTAAAACTTAACTTTCTGAATGTCAGACCAAACCCTGCATGCGCGACTTCGCACAGCTCCGTTATCAGCGCAAAGTTTCTCTGTCAAGCTTTGGCACTGCTTTTTTGCATGGATTCCTGTGTGGGAGGGCAGCAAGCTTGGCAGCTCCGCTCCTCTGCCTTTCCCCTCCCGCCCAGCCCTAGGTGGGGTGGGCAGCACAGCTCTGCACCAGAAGGGTAGAGCCGGGGTGCTCCTTCCTCTGAGAGCGTCTCAAACCAGATCCACGGCCCTCCCGTAGTCCTCACCCTCAGCTCACACCCCAGCTCACATCCTGGGCTTTCCCAGCCACTCCTGGGGTAGGACCAGTTATTTCTTTCCCTAGCCCTACGCCAGTTCTTAAGGTGGTGGTCAAGCCTTTCTCTTCTGTGTAACGCTTATTCTTTAAAGACCAGACATTTTTTTCCCCCTAGTAGTCAAACTGCAGGATATCACAAGACTCCATAAAAATCCCAGTTTTCAAGCATGGTTTTAGTCTTCAGTGCTCTGGAAGATGTCAGAAACTGGACACTTCACCTAGACCTTGCCTGAAGATTAAGAGATCAGCAGGTAAAGAAATCCATATATACTGGCCTTATTTTGTCCTCATCTAATTAACCCCATGTGCCCATTGTCCTGTGTAAAACATGAGCTCTAGCTCTGGTTGATTACCTCTCATCTTCACCAGGCAATAAAAAGAGAAAGGTTCCTGTTACTGATATATGAGACAGTGTTCAAAGATGCCACAGAAGAGGTGTGAAAGGAAAGGAAACTAGAACAATTTCTAATTTCCCTTCAGTGCCTTAGACTTAACTCACAGCTGTTTGGGCTGTGTGTTTAGAGCTGTAAACTAGCTCCAGAGCGAGCCATGGCTCATGGAGCCCTCCCTAGCAATTAAGGAATCAGTTTGGGGTTTTTTTCCCCTCAAACAGAAATTACCTACTGCTCATCAAAGGCAACAGACTGAGAAGGAGCAGAATATGGAGGAAAAGCCTGAGGAACCAGGCACGGGAGAAGCGTGTCGGTGAGCCGAGTTACCCACCGGAGGTGAGCAGACAGCACTGCTGGGGGTGCTGACCCTTTTCACATCTCGGTTCTGGCCAAGCGGTGTCAGCGACGCGCCCCGGCATTACTGGGTGGAGTAACTTTTGGAATAGCCTGACATTTCATGGGTCCCTTGGCATGTGGTTCTGCCTGCACACCGTGGTGTACCTACCCCAGCTGGCGCTAACCAGGGTTCCTGTCTGCAGTCTCAGCAGATACCAAGAGCTGAATAGAGCAAAAGTCCAAACTAACGTTCCACCTGTAGGTGGTTTGAGTTGACCTTAGGACACACCGAATGATGCAATCAAAGACCAGGAAGCCCATTTGGAAAGAGGTAATGCATGGGAGGAACAGGAGTAGAAACTGTAGATGTACTTAGAGGCTGGAGCTTTGGGTCAATACTGTGGAGCATACAGGCTGTAGTGTTTTGGTACTTAGCTTTCAAAATACTTTATAATATCCTGCCCCACCCCTATCTTTTCTTGTCATGAAACAACACGGTAGAGAACTGACAATGGCAAAATGGACAATCCCGCAATACTTGCCAGCCAGGTCCATCACATGATGGTTAGATCTTCTCTGACAACAGCGACAGACTATCAAAACACATATAAAAGAGTCAAAGCAAAGACTGGGATTCATGAGGAGGAACAATTCTTGCAAAAGCTCATTTTTTCACCCAGATGTTTGGGTTAGTTTAACTCTTAGCAACCCAAAGACACGGCATTTCAGGAGACCATACATTTGAAAGCTGACTTCCTTGAAAATGCAGCCACAGGTGTCCCCATGCAGCCACAAGTGTGCTGAACTCCAGCTGAAGTCACAGCAAAGGCCGGTGCCCGGCCACCTGGCTCATCACGAGCTCAAACACTTCCCATGACACTTGTAAGAGGCCCAGGGAAACCCATCACGAACATCTGTGAGCACACTCACACCTAGTATCAGGAGGTATACGCAGTGAAACATAAATCAGATAACCTATAGCTTGGACCAGGACAGAAATTAATTTAAAGCCATATGGTTAGTTCACTTAGTTCATTATTCTATAATTAGAAATAAGTTACTATTTTACTTTTACTATTCCTTAAACACTCTCAGGAAAAGCTTTCAATGTTTTCTCTTGTGATATTGTTCTCTTTAGAGGCTGAAAGAAGATTAAATTATTTTGAGAACTATTTTTTTTTTTAAAATCCAGGAATAGGTCCAACCTACATTAGAAGTTTCAATATTCATAACAGAACAATATGAAAACTCAGGGATAAATTGCTGTAAATTTCTGAGCAGATGAAATTCAAATCGTCGTTTTTGCTTGGGTCAATCACCCTTTTTATATCTGAGTGCCATAATCTATATCTAACATCAGTTCAAAATGCTTCATGTTAGCTTTAAAAAAGCAATGTTAACTGACAAAGTGAATAAAGATGATGCAATACCTTCCAGTAATTTTCAGATGTGGTTTTGTAACTCAGCAAGCCACCTGATCACACCCTATCATATGGGACAAATACATACTATACCAGAGGTCCCTTTTCCCTCTGCTCTGGGCTGCATTATAATGATCACGCCATGTCAGTTTGCCAGGCAAGTGTAACTTGCTTTCCTTGCTTTTTATTTTTTTGCTTGAAATCAGGATAATGATATTAGTGCTAAGGACAAGATTACATTAGATGAGGAGTCATGCTGCTATGCTGACAGTGGTGTAGGTTTTATTCATGAATTCATGCTACTTAATGTTTGGAGCAGGAGGTAAAGCAAGCAGTGCCACAGATCAAACACCCCCATTGAGTCCAAAGGGCTGAATAAAGATTTCCACTTAGAAGTAATAATAGGAGCTGGGGTAATCTAGGTAGGTATCAGAGCAGAATTAGAGAGCAGTATTTACCTGGACTGCTCAGGAGTCTCTAAAATATTGCTGCCATGTGGTGCGTGTTTAATGCCCGGTGTAAGTGTGCATCGGTTTTAAATGTCCTCCCAAACTCCTGCTCTCCCTTTCAGGCCAGCCAGCATCAGCAGGGCCCTTGGGCTGAAAACCCAGCAGTAGAGAAGCACTGGGAGGGCAGCTGGAAGGTGTTTGCTGCTGGGGCTGGGGCACGGCTTCTCTCAAGCCGAGACAAGCTGCTGGGTGGGTGCTGGGGAGCCACTTCCTTGCTCTCACAAACACTCTGCACAAAGTTAATCGAGGTGGCAGCGACCTGGCTGAAGAAGCTGAGAATGACTGAAATCTGCCTGTCTGTTATGGTTTTGTTGTTGCCAGGTTCTCGGGTTTGGGCGAGAACGATAAATAGGCCTATGTAAGTGGTGGTGTCCAAAAAATGCCAGAGGCCCAAAATACTGGGTGTCTTTTATCTGAGTTCTTACAAATCCAAATAAGGAAATCGTTCCAAAAAATAAATCAGCAAGGAATTGAAAAAGATAGCTGATGTGAATATATAATTAAAATGCTAATTGACCTGTTGAGGGGGAAAGAGAATTGCTGTTTGAAATAATAAATGAGCGGTGCAAGCGGTGCAGAAGTTTAAAAGAGCTCTCTGAAATGACAGGCTGAATAGGAGCAGCAGAGGAATGCCTTTAACCTTGTTTGCTGCGACTCTTCCTCACTAGGGTACTAATGAAGTACTAAACTAATGAGCACTGTCACTTCCCACCCTAGTTTATCCATGGCATCTTGTTCTCATTTCTCAGCAAAAAAGATTTCCTCAGGAAGATGAATATAAGTGTGAACATCTGAACTGAGGTGCTTTGTATAGGGGAAAATGGTGATGAGGCATCCAAGCCCCACAAAGCCAGCAAGCCTTTTAGCCCCCAATTCTGCCAATAGTTTATTTGTACAAAGTTTCTTTGTACTGGGGATTGGTGGGAGAAAACATAAATTCCAAAGGCTAGTGGAAACCTGTGAAATAGCAGAGGTTAAAGACAGAAACTTTTATTAATGTAGTGATGCTACGTGAGGAAATTATTTTAAACATTATTTCTGCACTAACAAAATTCGTACCACGCAGCCACACTAGGAAAAGGTGGTTTGGCTAATTTGGCTTCTTTTTCTCCCTTCCCCTGAGAACTGCTAGTGCTGGCACTGGTTACCTGCCTAACCAGGGCCTTGAGTGATGATGGGCTTTTGCCATCCAACTTGAGCAGGCAACTGGAAAGATGACTAGATTTGCAGTTTCTTACAAAAATACACATATATGACAACTCTCATCATCTAACTGTATCCCACCTGACAAGAAAAGGGGATTGTGATTAAAACTGCTAAAAGCTGGATGTAGTTTTGGCTGGTTTCTGTTCTCAGGAGGTTCAGCTCAGGGTGTGAAGGAAGGAGAAAGAATCCAGCCTGGTGGGGATGAAAGTTGGCCATGCCCAGGCACTGCTACTTCAGTAGTTTTCCAGCACTCTTTATAAAGCTCAGCTCAGTGGTTTTTCTCTGTCTGTGATCGTGGAACTGTTTTTTTTGTGGTTTTGATTAAAAAAAAAAAAAAACAAACAAACAAAAAACAATCTTACAAACAAAGACAGTGTGATGAAGCAGAAATCTCTACCTGGGCACACCCTCTCATCGAGGAGGGTAAATAAATAGCTTTTCTGTGTGCATTTTCAGTTCTCATTCTTCACATTCAAACTCCTCCCATTGTACCAGTCACCCCCAAAAGCATCAGCAGGTCTCCTGGCACATATATAAAACCAGGACAGGCCAGGACACCCCTCACATAGTGTACTACTATACATCACTAAGTGCTTAATTTTGTTGAAGCAAAGGAGTGTTAGAAGGTGTCAGAAGCCACAATGTCAGGTAAAAACTTCCAGGGACTGAAGGAACAGGCTGAAGGTGCAGCAAAAAATGCCGGTAAGAAAGATTAAATATAGTTGTATATTTGGCGGGGGGGGCGCTTAGCTGCTGCTTTCTCTTAGAGAAACCACAATCTGAAGTTACACTACTAACTTCATCGGTGCAAACAGGACACAGTTTCCCCTTTTTTCTCCAGTTCCTGGGGGCCAAGGTTTGGCCATTGCCCGCAGAAGGCCCCAGGCTGGCCCCGGCTCTCAGTGCCGTGTGGGCAGCCGCCTCCACCCACCCACAGCTCCCTCAGCAGCTGCTGAGCATCGGCCAACTTTTATCACTCCCTAAACAGGTCTTTACACTGAGTGTTTTTAGAGCAGTGAAGCCTTTTTTGGTAGTAATAACCTTTTGTGTTTAGCATTTACATGGCTCAGGACGGTCTTTTCTCATGCTCTGCAGTGGTTTTTAAACTGCTCTCCTTTTAAGAAGTTGGAGTTAACCTTTCATTAATGTTTGCTAATTGGCCTGACTATCAACACCTTCTGGTAATAACTATATCGATTGCAATGAACTGTTTGTAGTAAGTAGTACAAGTACGTTTCTGTTGCATTCTTCCCCAGCAGTGACCACCAGACCTTGCAAGGTTTAAAAGGAACTGTGCACAGATTTCTGTCATAGTTATGCTCGCGTTGTAGGGCCAAGCTCTGTGTTATTGTTAGTGCTGTGCATTGAAAACCAACTTTTCAATGCAAAGTATAATAGCTTTTTCTTTAAATGAAGAACTGCAATATGTGTATAGCTTATTCAAGCAGTTTATAGTATTTTCCTTACAGTGTTCGTGTGCAGCTCATTCCTATCAGGGTATAATTTGTATCAGATACAGTCCTGGATTCTGATCCTGCAAACACGTTGTTGTATTGCTGAAATATGTGAGTAACCTCACTGCTTTCTTCAGAGTTACAGTAAGTTTCCACACACCTGGGAACAAGTGTGTAGTAGACCCAGAAACACGACAGTATGCCTTTCTGAAAAACAAAATAGTCATTGCTACATCCTGAATATATTCATTCCTTTGAGGGGTCACTACTCCTTCTAGCAAAAGTGGTAAGATGGCTATCAGTCTTTCATAAACTATCAGACATCTTACAATTATATGGCATCTCACTTTTTAAATGCTTTATATTCTGGAGTTGATCTGTTACGTTTCTAGCTTCTGCTCCTCTTCTTCTTCTATTTATATCTTGTTTGTAAAATCACCCTTTTCCTGTCCCGCTCTAAGACGTTTGCTTCTATTTTGGAAAAGGCACTACTCCCAAACAGCTCACAGAGAAAATGCATGCTGGATGGCCAAGTTTCTCCAATCAGAATAAGCTAGAAAAATCAATAAAAGCAAGTGTAGTGTAAAATAAGCAACTTGCAGCTGAACGTCATCATTCCAACTCACTGTTAATCTTTGCTTCTTTATCTCCTTTTTATGTTATCTTCTTATCTGTCATCGATTTGCTCAGCTGACCGTAGGTGCTAGGTGAACGCTAATCTCATACCAAGCTGCTCTGGCAACACAAGTAGTTCCCAGGGTTCCCACGAGCAAAGCCCACGGCCTCAGCCTGCTCTGTACCAGCCTTATCTCTTGTCAGGGACATAACCTTCTGAGGACATGCAGAAACCCCAACTGACATAGGGAATTCCTATGAGCATAAATGTGAACAGCCGGAAATGAAGTTTTTTTGTCCTTAATTACAGAAAGCACACTGGGACGGGTTACTCAGGATGCAGTCAACCAGATTACAGATGCAAGCCAGAAAGGTAGGAGCAACGACATTCAAATCAAGAAGCAATGGAGCAGCTTGAGACAAACCAGCAGTGGGCAGCACTCATTCCCCTCTGTCCCACGGGTGTTCTCAGCCTTGAAAGTCCTTGGTTCCAGTGACAATTTTTGGCCTTTTATAAATCTCATGGGAAAGGATTTCAGGATCCGTTCCTTAGTAGCTTCAGACGTTTACTGGCAGACAATACTAGACACTCCCCTGGCCACTGAGTCTCACACACGGCATTCAGATTTTGGCTTCCTTTTTAGAAAACTTGTGGGAATGGCCTGGACAAAACTTTGTTTTTCTTTCTTGAGGATTAAGTAACCTGTAATACATCTTGCTCCCCCCAGCCCGGAGGAGTCTGTCCATGCCCAGCCCTGAGCTGGCTCCCAGTGCCTGCTGAGGCAGCAGCTGGGGTCAAACATTAATGATCTTGCACCTGGAAAGGTGCCATCAGGAAAGCATTGGCCTGTCACTCTGCGGATTGGGAACAAGTTAAACTAAAAACTAATCTCAATTCTCACTTAATTTTAATAATTTTCTAAGAACAAGGGGAGAACCAGCAACTTTGGCATCTGAAATGTTTCATGAAAGCCAAAATGCATTGGTAATACCTCCTTAGAGCAGACACCCTCTACAGCTCCCTGGATGTGACGAGAAGGGCGGGCTTGGGCACTTGTTGGTATTAGATGGGGAGGCAGAAAAATTGGCAAAATCTTTTTTAAAGATATATCCCTATATATTTACAGTCTAATAATTTTCACACTTCCCCCTTCCATCATAAATATTGAACCATGTTGCATTTTTCTAGCCTTCTGCTTACCTTTTTCCCCCTCTTGCAGCTATTGACAAGGCTTCCAAGATGGCGCAAGATGGAGTAGAAAAAGCAAGCGAACAAGCTGCAGAAGCAATGTCTGGCCTTGGGAAAAAATGTGGATTTAAGAAATGATGCTAATCTAAGCAAACAGTATCGCATGTAAAAAGCTCTCTTTGGTCTGCAATTCCCTACTCCTTTGTGTAGAAAAATGAAAGTTGTTTGATACCTGAATAATTTCTCTTCAAATAGAAAATTTTAAGGCAGAAGGCCCCCCTCATCCTTCATATGAGAATAATACATCTTTTAGCACAACTGCTCACAATCTTCAGCATGGCTCATAAGGCTTCAGCAATGCTATTGCCCTACTCTTACAACAGCGCAATGATTATTGCCACATTTGCTGAGTGTATTTACAAAACCAGTGAAACTGTTCATACTCCAGGACACCCAAACAATTGTATGATGAAACTGATTTTCCTTCCAGTAAGCAAAAGTTAAGCTGGAGTTATATTTCTTGTCAATTGTTTGTTTGTTCCCATCTACTGTACTTTCAGATTAACATAAATAAAAGGTATTGTCAGATCTCCACCCCCCAGAAATATATCACCTTGTTGTGTACTCTCATTATTTTACTGGCGCTTTCAGCGCAGGTTCGCACAATGTCTTGCAAATGTCTTTTGCTCTTTGATTCAGAGCCCAGGGAGGTCAGTGACCATCCTGTAAGGGAGGTGAGAACTGAGTCATTCTGCGGTTTGGCAGACAGACGTATGGAAACGAACAGCGCCGCACCGCAGAGGAGCCCCTTGGTCTCTGCGAGCGAACGGGAGTCGCGGTGTCCACCCCTCCATCCTTTTTCTTACGTATCTGTTGCCGGCTTGAATTTTTTGCTACCATTATCCATAACGCATCTCCTGCGAAATCTCCTGGGGCCAGACGTCAGACGCTTTCTCCCGGTGCCCACTTGCAGCACTGCTGCTAGAAGCGGCCGGTAGCCCTGAGGCGAGGGATGGCCCCAGGGCGTGCCCGGCTCACCTCCCTAAGGACACCGGAGCCGCAGGGGCTGTGCGGCGCTTCGAGGCAGCCCTGGACGTGCTGCGCAGAGCCAGCGGTGCTCAGGGACGGAGCCGGTGCGAGAGAGGCAAGGGGGCAATCTTCTCTCCTTGGAGGTGGAAATACTTGTTTTAGATTGCTGCTCGCTGGGCAATCGGAGGCTGCTGCAGCCAGACAGGGTGCCCACTTAGTGCTGCCTCTGTCAACAGAAGGCACTAATACCTACTTATTCACAATAAGTGCTCTTACCTTGGCCTCTAGGTGTTTCACATTGCTAGGCAATATTTCCTTTCTTTCTTTTTTATTTTTTTCTTCTTTTTTTTTTGTTTTTCCTCCTGCTTTGAAGCCTTACCAGCCTGATTTCAGTAAAAAGCTAGTCTGGGCCTTACAAAAGAAAACCAAAGAATAACCCAAAGCATCTGGATTTACAGTAATAGGGCAAACGAGGCCAGCTCGAGATACCGCTGTCTCAGACCTGTTGACTGAGAGCTGTGGTTGACCAGGGGTTTTTGAAAGCCGATCTTTGGGAATGCAGTCCTGGGAGAAACAGACTCCCTTCTGAACCCCAAAACCACTACAAACTGCACAAGGACTACACGGACTGAAAAGCCTTTAGAGGAACCTATAAGTAATAGACCATCTGTGAGTAAACATAGTCCAGGACTTTGCACAGAGTGCCCCAATGCAATGTCCGCTGTCATTTAAAGCTTTAAAAGCCTAAATATTTACCCAAGTACAACCTCACAGAGAAAGTGTTAGACTATTGCACTCTCAGTTACTGGGCAACCCTCAATAGTACTCAATTATTTAGTACTTTCCATGGTTACCTCCATGAGGTAAAATCTTCAGAGAATGAGCCCTTTAGGCTTGGTGTTTCAGACACCAGTGCTGCGTTTGTGGGTGATAGCGGTCCACACACCAGTGTCCATCACACCTCTTTTTTTTCTGCAAACCATTTCTTAGTTCATATTACAAAAACAAAAACAAAAACAAAAAAAAAAAAAAAGAAAGAAAAAAAAGAAAAAGTGAACAGTTGTAACTTTTTTTGCCAGTAAAACCTGTTACCCTCTTACATGACTGGTTCTACTCCTGTTGCTTTGTGCACGAGGAACACAGCTCTGACTCCTGGTGTGTGGTTTTTATGGTCCCTTATTTCAATCGCAGGTGACATCTTCAGCGTAACTACACCGGCTGTCGCTGCTCGCTGCTCTGGCAGGGTTGGCAGGGTGGGGACTGGGCTGCCTGGCTGGAGGGACCGCGGGAGGTCACCCACTGAGCCAAGAGAGGAGCAGTGCCCTTTTCCATCCGGCTCTGGAGCACCAGGAGGCAGCTCCCAATGCCCAGTCCCTGGCACAGGGATGTGACACAGATCCCAGGAGCCTGGTCAGAGTATTTCACATCACTTGTCCTGAGGGCGGAAGCTGTGCCACAGGCACCCGTGAGTCTGAGTCACTTGCTGGCAAGTGGTTGTAGGTCTAAACTTCAGTTCTTTGCTCCACATATAAGGTCACCACCTTATTCACAGTGCTCTTTGGCCTTAGAGTACTTGGGGCTGTTCCTAGTGCACTGTACAGGGAGCCCTGTCCTGACCCAGGATGGGGCCTTCCATTCCCACCTAAAGACTCCAGATGTTGTGTAAAAGCAAAATGGACATCCTCAGTGCTCCTACCAGTGCATGTGTCATCAACCCTAGAGACATGTGAAGTTATCCAACACCTGAGTTCTCAAATTTCCTAAAATTTGCTTCTGGGTGTGTCCTCAGCTGCCTGAGCCATTAAATGCTGAGCAAGGGGATTCATGTGCCAGCCTGGCCGGGCCGCCCGGTGCAAGCACCACCTGCCCCGTGCCCCACTCCAACGCCCCGGAGACCTTCCCAGGGCAGCTAGGGGCACAAGCAGCTGCCCCATCTCCCCTTCACAGCTCAGCAGGGCAGGGGCTCAGGGGGCGCGGTTTTTACCAGACTGCTCGATATCCACCTTCGGGAGCTTTGCCCATGAAAACATGAATCCTCATCTCAGGTGAATGCTTTGATTAACGGTCTATGGGTTATCAAGAATCCAGGCTTTCTGAAACTTGTCCTTGCAGACCTAGTTATTCATCACGGGGCAAAAATGCAAAGGTGATTCTTTTTGGTAAATCCCTGCTGCCTCTCCCCCACTCCTGTCCCCTTTACCAGGTTCCCATGCAGTCTCCGGCCCTGGCGGGGCCCAGCCCATGTCCCTGTGCAGCACTGCTGGGCTCCGGGCCGGGCTGAGCTCTGCAGCCCCCACACCTGTGGGGCCAACAGCCCCAGTGAGATTTGAACCAGCCGTTTTCAGTTTGCTTATAAGTCTTGCCTTAATAGATACTTCTCCTGCTTTGTGTCAGCCCCTCAGCCACTACCACAGCAGGACACACACACACACACACACACACACACGATGCCTGTTTAGTTTCTCTTTTGCCTTCAGATAGGAAATTACCAGAAATGTCATGCAAAGAAACCATTTTTATGCATAGCTCCTTGTTCCAATTTAGTAACAGTTCTGAGGTTTATTTTTTTCCTTTCTTTACAGCCCCCAGACCTAGCCCAGGCACCTGTGAGCACCCTTTGAGCATTTTTAGTCCTAACTTTTAATTTTAAAAGCTGGGGAGTGGGGCCTGTGTAAAAGCTGGACAACAGAGAGCACAGCTGTGGAGCACAGCAGGCTGACCTGCTGCTTGTGCAGAAAGGCACGTCGTGGTAAACATTAACCGACACTGTCATAAAGAAAGCTCTTCTTACTGCTCTTCTGTTGGCCTTGGCATGAGCAACCCGCCAGGGCCTGTGTCAACTCATCCTGCCTCAGTTTCCCCTGTGTCCTTCTCTCACACCTTGTTGCTTCAGCTGCCGTTTCATTTCCTGTGTCTAACTCAGGCAGCACTTACGACATATGGTCTCCTTTCTCCTTTAGGACTAACCCTCCAGTTTTTTACTTCTTTTCACAAATCACCCTTTTTGCAGTTAATCAGGTTCTTACTTCCCCCTGTGGCACACCCCGCCTCCCTGACCCAGAGCCCACAGGCTTGGCCCTCCAGGAGCAGCCCCTGGGGGGCTGGGGGGCTGCTGCAGCGGGGTCTCCTGGCACAGGGGGACCTGGGGCTGAGCAGCAGGACGTGGATGGGACATGGGCAGGACACAGGCAGGACACGGGTGGCTACTATGGGAAGCTGGCAGGTGCCAGGAAGGAGCCACAGGTGAGGTGGTGCTTGGGCTCGTGGGGTGCGAACGTGGAAACAGCTCGCTAATTTGTGAGGATACTGTGGAGAAACTGCTTGCCCTGGGATGGGGAAGCACATCTGTGAAAAGAAACTCACCTTCCTAAATGTAAGATCGAGAAACCTAAAGATGAATAAGCTGTTGCTGGGTTGGATGCTATTCTCCACATGCCACTGATATGGGGGTGGAGCTGCTGTGAAGGCCGCATGCTTCGCCTGAATGATCCCATTTCACCAGGACCTGAAAAAATGTCAGACGACCCCCTCTCAGCCTCTCTCCTCCCCCAAGAGCAGCAGCAGCAGCAACCAGCAACAATAGGACAGGCAACCTGGGGAGCCTTAGCAAGCTGGGCCACTCTCTGCACAGTTTCCCTCATACTCCCAAGCAACCATGATTGCTGGATTAACGATACTGGAGGTTATATGCCAGCCGCTCCCTGGAGTCTCCAATTATCAATGTTGTCTGGCCCCTTTTTGGAGCTGCCAGCACTGTCTGCTTCCAGAGCCCATGGCAGCAGCGGGTTCACTGGGGTTTGCTGCCCGCAGCACAAAGATGACCTTTCTTTCATATTTTAAATTCAACTACCAACAGCACAGATTACCCCCTCACCTGAAACCCCCCAAGGTTTGCCAGATAAGGGCCCTGCTGCAGGCAGGGCTGGGGTGGAGGGGTCGTTTCCCAAAACTTGCCCACACCTGGGCTGTGGCTGCTCAGCTGTGCCCGGGTGGGGGCCGGGGAGGCCACAAAGGGGCTGCAGGAGAGGCCTGAGGGAGATCCTGGCTGTGGACGTGGTGGGCAGGTAAGAGCGACGGCCGCGTGCTTTGAGGGAGGCAGGCTGTTGGTGAGGTGGCTGCTGTGGCTTTTCCCCCAGCACTGAGATCTCTGCCCCCACCCTGGGGGCTGCGTGTCAGTGGGATGTGACCCTGTGGGGGAGGCCAAGGTGGATCGGGATGGGCAGTGGTGTTCAGCCCGGCCGGGGCGTGAGTGTCCCGCAGCCTGTGCTCGTGCCGAAGGACGCCAGGTTTTGTGCCTACTCTCCAGCTCTGTGTTTTGGCTGGTGCTGGCTGGTGGCTGAGTTTAGGAAGTGCATGTGCTTGGGTCTCGGAAGCTTTAATCTGTGTTTTCAGCAAGCTGACCGGGCGTTGCTGGCTCTGAGCAGTGGCGCGGTGGGCAGGTCAGTGTACGGAGGTGAGCCCTGAGGGAGCCCCCTGCTCTCGTTAGCCCCGGTGCGCTAACTAGGAAAGCTCCCTGGGATG